CAGTAGTAACACAGCCTGGAATACAGGTAGTTAATGAAATCAGATTCCTTATGCATATACTAATCTCCAACTCACACATTGGTAATTTCTAGAAGAAAAAAATGTGCTATGATACAATTTTTCCTACATAAAACATACAGTTTCAGAGATTTTCTTTCAAATTGACAAATATTATAATGTGCTCTTTCATAATTATACTCTATATCAGCCTCTTCAAAATATGCAATGTATATCTGTAAGGAAAAAAAATAATAACTCGAAAGTTGTTTTGTCTGTGGAGGTGACTAATAGAATAACTTATGTCTAATATCCATTATACCAGTTTCACGCAGGTTTACAGATATATGGGTAATTGTTTAAGTTTTTGGATACCTTGAGTGGCTGTAAAGCACATGCATGAGCAAAGCAAAGAATTATTATATATAAAAATTCCTTCATAAACACCAGGATCAAACATGTGCTCTCCAGTTCAAGACCTCTCTCTGCTAATAATTCGTGATTATATGCTTGAGTGGATTATTTCATTCTTTAACTTCTTTTCCTCCTTTACGTCCCCCCTCTTCCGTTTCCTTGGAGGTCTGGAAAGCATTTGAAAAAGACACAGGGAGATTGCACATCCTTGCAATATTGTGAATGTCTGTGAATATCCTTTTTATTTTTATATTTATTTCATCTTTTTTTCATTGTTTTGTTCATTAGTTTGTGCTTCATATTTTCTTCTGCTTTGTTTTTCATTTTTTCTTTTTTTTTTTTTTTTTTTTTTTTACTTTTCACTTTCTCGGGATGATTGCAATAGGGTTATAATATTTTCTCTGTCTCTTTCTTATACTGAATCAAATGGAGAATATTCATGAGTGTATTTATACCTTCATTGTTCTACATGTCCAGACCATTTAAGCCCTCCCATTTATTTTCTCCTTTTTGTTTTTCTTCTTCTCTGCGTCTTAAGTCTAATTAGATTCTCCTCATTCATTGCCTTGTCATCTACAGCATGGACATTCGAGCATCAGTGGTGACTTCATGGGCTTCAGCGACAATGATTCCGAGTCTGACTCTGATGTGGAGGCAGGAGATGCCAGGAAGGATTCTGTTGCATCAGATGTAAGTTTTGCATCTTATGTATGTGTTGTTTGTAGTGCACTTTGTGAGAATGGATTGATTGCGAGCAAGAGTTTCCAATTTCTTTTATTGGTTGGGAATATTTATGTAAAACTTATCTCAGCTGTATTTGTTCATATCCAATTTTTTTCTTCTTCTTCATTTACTTTAGTAAATGTTATTAATTGTGGATAAACATTATTTTTATATGCAATTTACAACATTCACACTGATTTTAACTGAAATCCATGAACAGCTTTCTAATATATGTATTTACCTATTACTGAAGCAAGCATAGTACAGAAAAGGTGTGAGGAATGTGTTACATCTCTATTACACTGCCTAATTTTTCTATTTGAGACATAGTATTGGTGTTTAAGTTTTTCACTTCCCAGTGGTTCAAAACTGCATTCAACTCATATTAGCCCAAAACTGCTATTTTTGACAAATTTCTCATTTATTACCCCTTTAAGATGAAAACAGTACCAACATGCACTCACACATCAAGATGATGCCAAGATCTATATATTATGAATTACAATACTACTTATTCCTTTTTTTCAGAAACCTCTACTTAATTACTACAGTAATATACTCTTTGAGGACCAACTTCTTGAAGATCTCAGCAACTGGTTGGATCGCCTCTTTGAAGGAACAACTCATCGTTATCACATCAATTACTGGCCAGATTGGCCTGGTAAATAAATATGCATATTGTGTATGATTGACTCTAGGGTTGTAAATCACTATTCATATATTGTGCTATAGTCCAGCTATATCCCAGAATATAAACATTATTATAGATTTAAGAAGAGAGATGTTACCAAAATATTATAACATGAAAGGTTTCTTTAAGTTTCCATTCTCTCAGTGAAAGAAATATCTAGTATGACGAATATAGGTATTAGTTCCTTTTCATGACTGAGGAAATAATCTTCTGTTAAAAGATCTGGATAAAGTCTTAATGATCTTTAGTATTAGAATCTGTGAATTACATTCTTTTCTTATTTACAAAATGTTGCATGTTCCAGTATGTGTCAAGTAAGTACATACTGGCATTATACCCAATAATTCCATGATATTCTGTAGCTGCAAATCTTGTTCTAATGGAAGATTTAGTGTTAAGAAATGAGGTCAAGGCACCAGACATTTTCATGAGGAATAAGATATTATTCCTTCTTACTCACACTGCCTAAATCTGCCTGAAACAGCATCTCATGAACACAATGATAATCAGAACTGAGATTCTCAAAAGGTCGTAATGCCCATGCATTCATTTTCTTATATTTAGTACCATAACTAGGGATGGGGACATTTTCAAAGCATTACTGATTAAGTGTAGTTAAACTTTAATAAAAGTACTTACATTGGAAATTACTACATTCTCACTCAGTGTACAGTAAAAAGTCTAATTTATGGTGTATAATGATGTATATTTTACATGATTAGAAAGTATTATAAGGTAAATATGTTTAGTACCACATGTATGCACATCAGGGTAGTGATAAATTTTGAATTTCCTTTTTTAAGGTCACATAAAGGGGCTTGTAGAGGTCCATGCATTGATATACAATGTACAGTGCAGTTTTATTAAAGTTTTAAAAATATAATTCACATTTGTCATAGAAGCAGTTAAGTTTTATGTGGTGTACTCTTCACATATGCATTTTTATATTATAGTAATCTACATAGAAATTTGACTCTTCTATTACTGGAGGTCACAGAGTTTGAGCTTTGTTCAAGTGTACAGTATTACGATATTTTGAAAAAAACAGGCACTGCTTATTCGCTCATACCTGAAGTTTGTTGTACTAGTCGTATGTTTTGTTTCAGAACCGGGTAGTATATGATAGCATAAAATAGCTTGTATGGTTTTCAAACTAAATATTCAGCAGTTCCTCCTCCTTATACTGTTCAGTAGTAGGCAGATGTAAATATGCACGAAAGTATTTTTATTTTTTTGTTCTTAGCAGAGACAGGTTTGCACTACACATACTATCTCACACATTCATCTTTTCCCCATTTGCTCACTAAACCTCAATGTTCACAAGTTTGCAATCCAATTTTTATTTTTTTGGTGTAACATGTATGTATGAACAATATTGTCATTTATATTTATGATGTACTTGAAATAAGTATTTGTAATTGTGATTCACAGGCTAAGAATATGGTTTTATGAAAAAATAAGTAAAATAAAAATGTTAGAAAAAAAAATGTCCAAGAGGCAGTAAGCACACAAATTTATCAAATTCAGCTTTGCTTACTTATTATAGTCATAGTCATAGATTCAAACATAAAAACATATACTGTAGATATCACAGGATGAAGTGGATATGTAATAAGAAGTGTGGACAGAGTAGTCATTATAGTAATGAGTTCAAGATTGACTCTGGGTTAATCCTTCCATTATTTCATATGAAATGTAAAATGTACATGGCATTACTATTTTTCCATTGTGTTGTACATTAAATAATATTTGCAGACTAACTTAGCATTGCCCCAGGTCATAAAACACTAAATGAATAACTTTATCAGATTGTACATCCTTCTCACTTTGAGTAATTTTGTGCCATACATAAATTAGTAAAGGCCCTGTTCACACAACGGGTAGTGACAACATGGGTAAAACTGTTACCACATTAGGATGGTTTTTGGGAATGAGCATCGATGGCATCACAAACAAAAACACCACATGCTCAAATCCAGGAACAGTGCTCTCAGATTTAAGTGTTTTAAGATGCTTAAATATGTCTGCAAGAGGGCACACTCATTTTTTGTCAAGAGGCAAACCAGGCAGTAGAGTTCAAGATTTAGTTTAGAGTAACTAAAGAATAGACACAGCTATAATAATGGTTTGCCTGTGGTTTCTCCACTTGAGACTTCATCTGTGATTGTGATTTTGTAACGGTTTGCACCCACACAGCCACTCTCTCTCGTGTGCATGGGGCCTAAGTATAGTATGTAAGGGAAGTGTGATTTGAGAAATTGGCAGACAGGGTAAAGAAATTATTTATGTGAAATGCAAATAAAAATGCCCCACCACCTTGTTTACCGAACGCTTTTGGTAGCAAATATGACATTCAATTAATAAATACATGCTAGAATTGGAGTGATACAACTGTATATACACATTTAGCCTTGCTCTATAGATTAAATATTGTAGTCAGCAAAAAAGAAAGTGTTTTGTTATAGTTCTGCCACATCTCTTTGAAATGTTAAATTCCATCAATATGAAGATGGTCCTGTATAAAGATAAAATTATGGAGAATTTTCAGTTATATACTGAATGTGTACTTGTATGTTTTTGCATGTTTATACCCTGTGTAGAACTGAACTGTTATGAATTTACCTTCTTAAAAGTACATGCTTTAATTTGAAGTTATATTACAACAAAATTTGAAGGGGAAAACTTCTCTAAGTTAATGTTCATCAGGTCTTCCCTTCAAATTATGCATTTGATAGATAATATATCAAAGAATATACAGGTTTCCTGTATAAAGACATACAGTCTAGTCACTTTGTCAGCCAGACCTTTGAATATTAATAAACTCTTAAATCCTTACAAACAGTTTTATTTAAGGATACAAAAACTCACAACACAGTTTATATATTTTTTTCTTTTTTCAATGACTTAGGACAGTGCTTTCTCAATCAGGCAACAAGTATTTTCCAATTGATCATTGAACAATCTCAATACTTGTGTTCAAATTGGATCCTATACACTATTTACAATGATACCATTATACCCATCCTCCCCACATGATGCAGACCATAAGTGAAAAACTAAATATTCTCCTTAAAAAATGGGGTAAGGGTCAGGTCTAATTTAGTGAACTAAATACAGAAGTAGTTTGGGTTGGATGGGCAATGGCGACAAAGGTACAAATATTCAATCACTATCATTATTTTACAATAACTTTATTACAAGGCCCCATGGGAGCAACCATTTTTAAACAAAGCAAAACGTAATTGGTAAGAATACCTCATATTAGTCCTCTAGACTAAAAACAGAAAAATAGGTACAGTGACCACCTACATCAAGGAAAACAAGGGAGAGGGAACAATTCAATAATAGTAAAGATGAACACGTCATTTCTTCTATGAAAGTGGAAACAAAAAGTACAAACAAGATTACAATGAGCTATTGGGAGAGTCCATGACACAGATTACATAAGCGTATAATTAGCTGTGTAACCATTGGAGGGGTAAAGCACAGCACATTCGAGAGAGGACCGACGAGTCTTGAGGCCATATTTTCCTCATGCAAATACACAATTCTTTTTTTTTGTTTTTGTTTTTAATTCTGACGTTCTATTACATGTTGCAAACTAATGAGCAAAGGATACAGATCAAGATTTGACACTTGTGTCTCCTTTATAAGACAAAGCATCAATATACAGTTATATATTAGAATGGGCAGCTAAGCATACACCAGCCTTCATGATGTCTAAGTTCTAACATCCCAGCTTCTACATCAAACTTGTCATGTGGTTTAATGTTTACTGATAGCAAGATAATTTGTGATTATCGTAGTTACTACAAGACAAATTACCTGATTCTTACAAGCAGGTATGTTTGAATATTCCACTCCTGTACATACTGATCATCTCACCACAAAATTTCCACTTTCAGAATCACTGGGTATATAAATGGTAATTAAGGATGATCTTTGGCAGTGCATACAATAAATTAATCATGTACCATAAATCTAGACTTTCGAAACTGTTTTATGATACACCCATGAAATACTAAAATAAATAACACTTTCAGTACAATAAAGAACAAAAGTAATTCCCTTTTCATAACCAGAAAACAACTGCCTGTAATATTATTTCCATTCAAATAATCCAGATTGGATGGCACACTATAGGTCTTAATTTACCAACATAAGCCTTCAATGCCTAATACAAAGCAACAACAATTTCTTCTGATGCTTATTAAACAAAAACTTTCAATTAGGTTGAATGCATATAACACTTTCCAAAGTATAACTTTACTCAATCATTCTCTCTATGCTTCTACCACCGGTCTACATCTTAAACTATCTATCTCAACTGCTCATTCAAGCAACCTACACTACATCCATTAATCGTCTTGACTAACCTATCTAGAACTAACCTTCCACACGCACTTGCTCGTTAAAATTATACAAAATAAAGAAAGAAGAAATAGAAAAAAGAAAAAAGTGAAGAACAATCACAGATTGCTGAGCCTTGCTGAATCCTCATAACTCACGTGCAAACAACCTTGTGATTCTTCATACCCCTTACCTTGCTAATGATATCTCAATCCTAACATATTTTTCAAATTTAATTTAGCAGTTCCTCATGACTTTTTTTTCATATGTATTTTTTTTTTTTTTTTTTTTTTAATCATCATATCATTCTGATTAGTTCATATTCATCAAAAACAAAATCCCAATGACTAATACAATGATAAATTTAATAAACATTTTGTTATTATCTATTCTAATTTTAATTTACCAGTGTATCTACATATGATCTTTTTTTTTCCCTTGAGGATGCATGCCCAACTGTACTCTTCACACACTTTATACAAGGCATCACTTAATCCAGAACATGTAGTACTGCATATATAAAGAAGCTTTCAATGCTTTTAAAGTTTCTTCCTATAGCCATATTAAATACATTTATGAACATCCTTCTATACATGCCTTTATGAAGATTCAGCATTTCATATTTCCGTACACCTCATGTGCAATATTGTAAGTAGAATACGTAAGTTCTAAACAACAAACTTTGCTTGTCCTTTTCTTTGGTTTTGGACTTATTTCTAGCTCTGCTTTGCCCATGCATTTTTTATGCCTTTTAAGTTCTTGAAGTTGGAATTTCCAAGTTATGCCACCATCAGTTGCGATGAATCTGCAGCACACATTGCCCAGTAGCATCCTTCAACCCAGAGATGGTCCATTTAGGTTCAGCAGTATCATCAAACTGACCATCATCCTCTGGTGCTGAATCAGTAACTTCACTCATTGGAGAGCTACGCCCACTCTATAAAAAGAGAAAAGCACACTATTTAGTTGCATCTAATAGGCTTTACAAAAGTGTACTCAAATGGTAAATGAGAAAAATGTCATATCTATTATGTAGTCGAAAGTAGTTTACATTATTCATAAACACCTGAAAACTTACCTCTTCCATATTGATGGGTTCATGACTGGAGGAGTCTAACGGAGGGCTGGGGGGGCCAATATCACAGTCATCTGTCTCCCTCACCATAATCATATATTCTGCATTGTTCAGTGGGAAGACACGTTGTTCATATGGAACTACACCCTGTAAATATGAAGGTTTGTTATGAACTAGTCTTTATGAGAGTACAGTATTAAAGCCTTGTCACTATAAAAGTATATCTGCAAATAAAATCAATTCAAAATTTAACTATGTACTAATAACAAGACCTACATAAAAACATCCATTTGATATCTTTTCATACATCTTTTTTTTTTATTTACCAGACAAAAGAAAAAACAAATACCCGAGATTTCACTTCCTTCAAGCACTGACCTCCATTCTTTCTGTTAGACTGTCATCCAAGCCAAGGAATCCCCGAGATCTGCTTCCACTGCTGAAGGTGCGGTTACGACGGCTACCAGGCAGATGTGAAGATGGCGTGGAAGATGACGTGGAAGTGGTGAGTGGCGCAGAGGTGCTTAGTGAGGTGGTTGTGGCTTGGGATGTAGATGAAGTTAAGGGGTTGTATATACATCCTCCCAGCTGGGAGTTGTGGACAAGAAGCTGGCCAGACTGGGATTGCGAATTGCCAGAATACCCAGAGAGTTGTGTGGTACTATTGGATAATGTAGACATGGGAGAAGTGATGGATAAACTTGATGTTGGGAAAGCTGAAGCACTAGAGACTGCTGGGACTGCAGAGAGGGAGGAAGATTGATTGGAGTCTTCAGAAGGAGCTAGAGGTGTGGTGGGAGGGGTTGCTAAGGGCGATATGGTGTCACTTGCTGGATCAGGTGGCCTTGGAGACAACGGATGGTCTGTCAGGGTGAGAAAATATATTTAACTGTTAACAATCACTAAGTTCATAAGTTATGTGATCTCTTTCTAAAGGGACCATCCTGGGTAGAGGTTTGGGGAAAATAATGATTTTTCACACAAAAAGTCTTTTCACTTTATCCCCCCCCCCCTTAATTAGTCTCTCTTACAAGTGTGTATCTTTTCATATCAAATTCTTGGGATTCCCACTGAGGGGATACCCATTTTTTTTTCTTCTTTCTTTTTCTTGGAAAGAGTAGCCGAGCCAAACAAACCTAGGGACTAAAGGCCCACCTGGTGTATTAGTTCCTGAGGAGTCCGTCCGTCGTGACCTCGAGGACCTGGAGGTAACTTGCATATGGAGATGTTGAAGGAACTTCTTGCGCTCCAATTCTTCACTACGACTGTGTCTGGCAAGGGTTGCTTCTTCACTGACATCTTCCTCAAACTGGGAGAAAACAATCCGCTTAAATGACATGCCTAACCATATTCAATTCTCAAACAACTACAGAAACACATTTTCACACTATTTAATGATCAGAATAGAAATAATAAATAACAATCACATACCTCATCTTCTTGACTAGTACCGCTGTGAACATTATTTGGTATAAGGGGAACTATCCTCCATTTAGGAGTTGGGATCTCCTTATACTCCAACTTTTCAACGCGAGTTGAGGCTGCCATACTATATGGAATTACAATGTTATCTATGTCGTAAGAATTGGAACTCGTACTCTGCAAAGGAAAAATCAGATATGAAAATATGGCAAAATTCTTGAAAGAAACAGCAACACATTGACTAAAAATATGAATAATCTCTTTAAATCTACGCACTCTAATTATATAACTACCACTGAAGTTATTTATAGATCAATGTATTCTATAGAAAAACAAGTGAGAAAGAGACAGAATGAATTCACAAAGATCTACCACCTTTTCTATACATCATGATTGAATAAAATACAATAATAGTAATACTAATCTCAAACATTACCTGTTTCATTTTTTGGCTAGAAGTTGACGAGTGTCTTTTATGAGCTGACCGGTCAATGGGTGCAGGACTTGCTGAAGGAGAGGAGTGAAGGCTGCTTCCATACACGGAGCTAGCGTCGTCATCTTCGTCAACCCGAACTCTTTTGATTGCTACTGTCAAAAACACAATTTGGTTGAAAAGTGCCATTTTTCAAGGAAAAGGATAATATCAACTATAACAACTAAATCTACTAGTACATTGATACATTATTGAGAGCAATAATCCATAATGATTTTCAAGTACTGTCCATTCCCTGACTTAGTGAAAAGTTATCAACATGGAAATATAATGCAAGTTGTTAATATGTCTTTACAACCTAAAGACAAAGATGAAAAAATATCAGAATACAGTCACTATGTAGTTCCACTTACATAAAGCTTCCTGCGCAGAAATACGTTTTCTTTTGTAGTCTACATCTCTTACCACCTCCCCTGTTAGTAAGGATTTCTTTAATTCTGAAAGAGGGAAATTATTTATATTAGTCATCATCAGAAAACATCCAATAAACATTCATTACAATTAACCCATTAAACTATAATTCCACAGATGAATACCAATAAATACATCAGTATTTCTATCACTTACTTAATGTTATTCTTCCCTTTCCTTCCTTCTTATGCTTTTTATATTCTTTTTTACGATCTTTATCCTTCTTCTTTTTCTTCTCCACATGCAATGTTTCCCGGTTTGTTCTGGTAACAGGTAGAGGCTGGAGGGTCTTGGCTGTCAGAACTTGTCTCTGCCAATCGGTTGTTTTCAGTATAGCATCAAAACGTTCTGATAATGACACATCTGTAAAAAGAAATTTTCATAGTGAACAGCAAGAATAATAGAAAAATCATTGGAAAGATTAATTTTCATCATTGGTACACAAACTTAAATTGTACAGTCTAAACAAATATAAAAATGTATAAAATTAAACATACTACCACAACAGAATTTTTAAACCCATTTCTATTTTTGGTAATCTTAAATCATCATCACTGAGTAGATTTTATAGTGTCTGGATCTTTATTCATAAACACACATCATTAACAACCCTAAAGCCATTTTGTACTTACCAGCAGGTTGAGAGAGAACTGGGTGGAAGGTAGGATCTACTCGCGCATGTCTCTCATTCCAAGGCTGTGTGTCTGGGTCTGGAGGGGCTGTTGGAGGAACTATACCTTGGAGACGTGTGCATAAGACACATGTTAAAGGTAGGACACACTTGCATTGCACTGCTGGAATACGGCCTCCCCCAGCTCCTCTCCTGTGACTGGCACAGAGTCCTGCTCCGGCCCTCACTAAACGTCGTCTCTTGATAGCTCTTAACCCTTGTGTGCGAGCCGAGACGAAGGAAGAATCGCTGACACCCCCACTGATACCATCATCTATCCGACCATGATAGCCATTGACAGTAGTGCGAGAAGTTGGGGCAGCAAGGCAAGTGAGGGCAGGGTCATGGACATCTAGATGAGCTGGGTCACGCAAGGTCATCCCTCTCCATCTACTCCCTTCTTCCACTTGTACTGCACCTTTATTGTTGCGTACATGCCTGCAATCAAAGAAACAGTTGAGAATAAGCCATAGTATATGACAGAAACAACTACTACATATAAAAGACTTTACTAATACAGAAGTGTCTCGTAAAATCATCCTAACCAAACAACCAACGTCTTTAAAACATTATTCTCCAGAACAAATGTTTAAATCTTCCAGTAACCTCTACTATTACGGAAGAAACTAAATCTGTCTTGTAAAGCGAAATTACCTCAGTGGCCGATAGCCATTCCCACTGTCAATAGACATCAACCTCTATTCACATCTAATGACCTTCCATTCAAAGTTCCTACTGAGGAAAAGTTAATGCTTTTAAGTGTGTGTATTGGGGGAGACTATGGAAAGTGCATGGTCCTGTTTCTATCTCAGGAAGAAACACTAAGGTTTTCACAATAATCAATAATAATAACAATAGGGATAATAATAAAGATAAAACTATTTGTGGGTATGTTCTTGTATGTGCATCTGTGCAAGTTTATGTGCTTGTGTGTGTGTGCATATGTCTGTGTGTGTGTAAGTTGTGAATGTGTGTGTAAGTGTGAATGGAGTGTGTAAGTGTGAAAATGAGTGCGTAAGTGTGAATGAATGCGTGTGTGTGAGTGAGTGTGAGCGAGTGTGCATGTGCGTGCGTCTGCCTGCGTGCGTGAGCGTGTTACGTAAAAGCCGGTCGCCGCCCCTCCCCGCCCCCCCCCCCCCCAGTCGCGCGATGGGTTTTGCAATCCGACGAAGCGTAACGGACTTTTCCTTCACGTGGTCAGAAACTCCAGACGCAATCCTACGAATAATCATCTTTCCTCCCAATTTAAAAAAAAATAACGGCAACTATCTGCACATCGAGTCGTAAACACGTGTTTTTACTCTTGTGCTTCCCGCACTTAGAATACCAACAATCATAAATTCTACGAATGCATCATTCTATTTTCGCATCAGAATGTGCAATCGACAACACTCTATTCCACGATAAGTCGATGCATATCCCTCCAAGAGTTAAGCTTTAAAAAAAAAAACACCATATATATCCACACTTCCACAGAATGTAGGCATAAAACGGACTTACACGCCACCAAAAGTCTAAGGCATAACCCAACGCCCAAAGTCCTACGGGTATATTGTGTGGGTATGTTGTGTGGGTATTGTGCGTGGGTATGCGTGTTCGTACAAATTCATACGCATACGCGAATGGGTGTGCGCGAATAGGAATATATTTTAGTACATAGTCACTCAAAGGAGTTCGTTAACCCTTGCAGATACCATCATGGTCTCCCACGCACACCGTTGTGGTAACAGTATACATAGAAGTGACAAGGAAATGCCGTGAAATTTCTTTTTTTTTCGCACTATGACTATTGCCAAAAGACCACTATGGACCACAATTATCTAGTCACAATTAGTAATATAAACGGGGTCTCAAAAGGAGGCGAAGGGAGATATATTAGATATATATAAATAAGAGAGAGAGCGGGAGAGAGGGAAAGTGTGGGGAGGGGAGGAGGAAGGGAGGGGGGGAGGAGGGAGAGAGAGGAGAGGAGGGAGGAGGGAGGGAGGAGAGAAGGAAGAGAGGGGGAGAGAGAGAGAGAGAGAGAGAGAGGAGAGGGAGAGGGAGAGGGAGAGAAGGGAGAGGGAGAGGAGAGAGAGAAGAGAGAGAGAGAGAGAGAGAGAGAGAGAGAGAGAGAAGAGAGAGAGAGAGAGAGAGAGAGAGAGAGAGAGGAGAGAGAGAGAGAGAGAGAGAGAGAGAGAGAGAGAGAGAGAGAGAGAAGAGAGAGAGAGAGAGAGAGAGTGTGTGTGTGTGTGTGTGTGTGTGTGTGTGTGTGTGTCAGAGTCCTCCAACTCTGACGTTCTCTTAATAACAACACAGAAATGACTCAAAAGTGCAGATGGTAGTCTACAATCTATTGCATTATCCCAACACCCCCCCCCCCCACACACTAACTTACATCAGACTGAAGACCTACAACTTCTATACACCTGCCACCTTTCACTCACCCTACCTATCGTACTCTAAAAAATAGGAATTAGAGCAAGAGCAAGAGGAGGTAGGAGGGAGGAGGGAGAAGGAGAAGAAGGAGAAGGAAGAAGGAGGAGAAGGAGGAGAAGGAGAAGAAGGAGAAGGAGGAGGAGGAGAAGGAGAAGAAGAAGGAGGAAAAGGAGAAAGAAGAAGAAAAAAAAACTCTAGTACTCACGCATATATTTTTTGTTGTTGAAGTATTCTATATTCTAAGTCGGCCACCTGCGCTTGTAACCACGTCCATCTGGAGGCCACCCAGGACCTGGCTCTGCAGTAACGGTACAACGCCCTCTCACGCCTGGAAGACAAACACACCTGCATTAGTCACGGGGAAACATGAGCGCCTCTTAGTCACTGCTATGCTGCCATCGAGAGCAACGTGGCATCAGGTTTCCTACTTAATAAGCTCTTGTTTGATATTGCACTTTCAACTTCAAATAACCTAGATGAGCTATGGTACAAGGGGGTAAATTCTTTAATCAAGATGGTATACCAAACATGTACATAAATCAATACATCAATAATATAAAAAAAATATATATTGTCTAGTCTTTCAAAACTATCATCAGTTCTTCAGGGGTTTCCTTTCTCAATAAATATTTCCCCCCCTACATAAAGAACGTCAAAACCTTAAGTACAAGCAGCCACAGCCAACATCTCCTTTTCCTGCGATGAAAGTAAGGTTTATTCTCAAAGCCCCTTAGGAATAAATGAAAACAAATCACCAAGGCTTGCACAAACAAACCAACCCAATCGCACTGATATGAGTATACAGAAACCTAACACTTCTTTAATACGATTAATGTTTAGTTTTGTTCTCTTCTAATTGACAAACAAAACAATGTGATAATAATGAGGCAATGACAATAGTAATGATAATAACGATGAAGTCAGAATTAATATGGAAATGAATACAATAATCCCACACACGAGAGCAATAGTAAGAGCCATGATTGCATGCATACCAATTTATTAGTAACAAGGGCGTTTATGCCCCGCCAATATCAATAGAACATATCATTTGAAAAATAAGTTTAATACATTCATTCACGCTACAATCTTATTGATACATAATTGGACACATAATAATTATAATCGAAGTCTAATCGTTGTACCAAAATATAATGACAACAATCACAAGGCAGAACTAATAGTAAAAAAAAAAATACGATATGGTTGCTTATTTTGTGAATAATAATACTAAAAAGGTAACGAGGAGGCCAGGCATCCCCCTTCGCTCAAAACAAGTTCCAAAAAGCGAACACAAGACATTCGATTAGCTCTCTCGCAGACGCATTTCCCATCATCACGGCTCGCACTGGTCAGAATTCCTTTCATCGGATTCGAAATACAGAGGCTGACCCCCCCCCCCCCCCTGGGTCACAGCCAACCCAACCCAAGATTTTCTTCACGACCCGAGAGCAACTTTTCGAAAAGCACAAGCAAGTTGAAAACCTAAACTGCAAACAAAGATAACCAACTGAGGGCAAATACACTAATACACAGGCACTGCAGTTTGAAGATGTTACAATGATGAGGAAGAGGCATAGTAAAAAAAAAATACTACCACCATTAAACAGAAAAATATTACACAATAATATGACAATCGAAAAAGATTAATATAAAAACAAGACAAATACAAATGATGACAATAAATGAAATGCCAATAAAAGACCAGAAAATGCAACAACACGTCTGATGTCTTCATAGACGATATTACGAAAGCATAACAGTGGATAATAAGCCTTTTAACAGAAACAGTCACAGCTTTTTCCCCCCAAAACCGTTGGCTTTACCCTGCTACTTTTTATTCCCCGCATCAATTAGGAACCGTCCTCTCGTCATCCCAACGTCATGAGTATTCAGCATAAGCAAGAAAATTCTAGGAACAGCCAACTTTTAAATGGTAATTTGTGCCCACGGTTAAAAACAGCAAATCAACCCAAGTCCGTTGTCTGATTTTATTTCACTGACAAACTTCCAGACCTAAAATTATTATCTAAATGGAATGGGCTGAAATTCAAGCGCATTTCCAGAACCATTCACTGCAACCAACTGTAATCAAACATTTGTAACAATTATACCAACCCATAATAACATGTTGATAATCTAACGAAACAATATCACGAAATATTACGAAACAAGTTCTGAAAAAAAGCCAACATTGTTGTTCAAACACAGATTTAACTAAAGGATGATAACGATAATATCAAAAAAAATCATACTTTATGGGGCTTACAATCAAATTTCACCCTTATTACTGCACACAATACTATTCAGATCACGATAACCTACAGTGAAACCCTACAGTGTCGACATACAACCGCAGCAACACAGCTCGAAAGAGTACAGCCGAAATTGATGAAGACCCTCGCACTACACCCTCGAGCAGAAAAAGTAGTCCGACACCGACAACGCAAAGACCATTATCGAAGAGAGAAGACGAAGACGAAGAAAAAGAAGAGAAAGACGAAGAAGACGAAGAAAAGGAAGAAGAAAAAGACGACGAAGACGAAGAAGACGAAGAAAGAGAAGAAGAAAAAGAAACAAAAAGACGAAGATGAAAATGAAGTAAATAAGACAAGGAAGAAGAACACGATGAAGACGTAACCGGAGAAGGAAAACAAGAAGCAGGAAGAAAGAGAGAAGAAACTAAAGGGAAAAAGGGGAAAATGGAACTGCAAGCTAACGAGGCTGAGCCCTCACGAAGGGAGACAGAACTGGGGCAGGATGAAGGCCGTCGGTATTGACTTGACGGCGCGTCCGCCCCGACTCCCGGCCTCGCTTTTCCGCACCGAATTACTTCCATTTGGTGTTCATCGTTCGTTCCCGACGCCCCCCGACTTCGGATTCGTAGCTGCGAAGAGCCATAAGGGCGAGCTGCTTGACATCAGGGTCCGGCTGGGCGTGGAGCAGCTCGAGGAAGATGACAAAGACCCTCACAAAGCAGTACGTCGTAAAACCGCAAATGAATGCTAATGTCACAGCGATGCACTTACACTCTGGGTTTCCATTCGCCCGGCCTCGCCCCGTTCGCATCCGCCGATCCCATTTGTTCAAGTATCGAGCCCATTCATCAACTTTGCCCCGCGCTGCTTTCAACATCCGTTCAACATCAAAATATTTTCATGGTCCAGCTGCATTCTATAGTTCGAAAGACCAGAGTGGCATAGAACACGTGCTTCTCGGCCTCTGTAGGGACAACACCCAGTAATTAACACACAATGCAGGACCGTTATCGACTGCGAGTACAGCCGCTGAGTGAATGAAGCGAGCGGGATGTAAGACCCGAGCCCGATGGGGTATCAATCACGCCGTTATAGAAGGTGTGACGGGACATCCATTGCCCCTTATAAGCGCTCAGTCGATCTCCCCCTTAAGAGGCCCTCAAGTCGACCTCCGCAACCGCATGTAAAGTCGCTGGGTACACACGGAGAGTACACGGGAGCGCTGCTTGCGGACGCCACAGAATGGAGAAAGTCGCCGGGAGCCATAAGCAATCAGAGTGTTGGAGGCGGCGAGTGGCACACCATTGCAGCGCAGTAAAAGTGGAGTCGAGGGGATTGCTCCACTGCTAGGGAAGAAAGGGCTAATGCAAGCTGTTTAGAAAGAAGGTTGCTTCAGACGCGGCTCTCTACTTTACATAAAATTAATTTCAGCGGGTCAAGTTGTTTGGCGAGGCCGTCGGGGAAGGGCAAATGAAGCCCGTGCTGGAAATTCTACACCCCCAGAAGCAGACTTGCAAGCAAAGTTAACACTACTTACCCAGCAAAGTAGATGCCAGAAGTTAGGGAAACATAATTATGCGAGGTACAAAGGTTTCATTAAGAGCGACCCTGTTTAGCGACGCGTGCCCCGAGGAACAGCTGGCCCGGCGGCGCTGGGAATACCTTCTGGGGATTCGGATCACATCAAGGGGAGTCGATCCGAGTCACTCCCGCATCCGATGGCCTTAGCGAATCCGAAACGCAATCTGAGCGACGGGTTTTTAGTCTCTACACTTTACCACAAATCCACGAATTATCAAATATTAATTTCCCCCCCTAAAGTTCAACTCCAATTTGAAAAAAAAGTTTTCCTTATTTTAGACATCCACTCATTATAACGTTTATTCAGGCATTCTCATTCCGTGTGGCAATGCAGATTGCACGCACTACATTAAAAAGGCAGTTTGTAGTTTCACCTAAATCCTCCAAAGGTTCAAGGAACTGTAAACAGAATATGAAAAAAGTAGATCAATCTGTTTTCACCCCCCCTCTCCTCCCCCTCCTCCTCCCTCCCTTTCTCCCTCTCCCTCCACAAACTCTCACACGGCAGATCACCCCCACCTCGCCTCATTCCGGCCTCCACCAAGACCCCCTCTTCTTCCGGCGCCAGACCCCCTCGACGCTGGTTCTTCCCCATTCCCTCCTCCTTCCATTCCAGCGGCCAAGCGTTTTTTTTTTCTCTCGGCTCAAATTCGTGACCATCGCCGCCCGCCCTCCCTCCCTCCCTCCCTCTCCTCCCTCCGACGGGCCGGTGGACGATGCGCCGCTTGGCTTTGCGTCTCGAACGGATCATTCCGCGGCGCATCGCACGCTGAAATCCTGACGTGTTCTGTGAATCGCAAAATGGCTTTTCATGCATATCCCGACTTTGAAATCTCAAATAAATGGTGATGAAGTTCCTAAAGTGGAGTGTGAGAGTGAAGTGAGAGAGAGAGAGAGAGAGAGAAGAGAGAAGAGAGAAGAGAGAGAGAGGAGAGAAGAGAGAGAAGAGAGAGAGAGAGAGAGAGAGAGAGAGAGAGAGAGAGAGAGAGAGAGGGAAGAGGAGACGAAGGAGAGAAGAGAGAGAGAGAGATGAACAAAGAGGGAGAGAAAGGGTTCGTCAACGGAACACGAGCGCGTGTAGCCAAGGGATTGCTATAAAGGGGCACTTTATGCGGGGAAGTTGCGGTTAAAAGGACAATGAAGTTCCAACAACATCGGCACTGACTGCGATGAAGTTGTGGCTTCAGGAAAACTACACGAGTTATAGTCACGACCGCCTGCCCCTACACGCGACGGAGTCAAGGCTAAAGAAACTCCATTCACACACAAGCAAGTTCATTCAAGACCCGAGAAGGGGATGACGCCGCAGCTTGTAATCACCTGGAGTGGCGGGTCGCGATCGGCACCCTTGACTGATTGCAAGGGGCGATAAGACGGCTGCACTCGCGCCCAATCTCCACCAAATCGAGAGACTCATCCCGGCGGCGCTCGGCACGCCATTAACTATGCAGCCGCATGAATAACGCAAACTCGGACTTTAATAATGCAGCATTAAACATTTTTCACATTAGCGAGTCTATGCCATTA